AAGTTTTCATTTCGTTATCAACTCTCTTATTTTCTGTTGACAAGGTTCATGATTAATTCAACTCAAATATATAATAATAATCAAACTTAACTTCTTTCTACTATTAAATAAAACACTCCAACTAAAACCAGGCTGCCTGCAACAACAATATGTAATATATTAAAGTATCAGCTGTATTTCTACTGAAAAATTATTTTCAAATCTAAATAGTTCATAAAAAATTTGAAAATTCGTATCTTTTCACATATGTATGACCGATTTTTGATAAAAATTGTGAAAAATTTTCATCAGCATTACTGTTTCTCAGAATATTTTATAGTCTAATTTCAACATATTTCATGCAAAATTATGCCGTTTCTTCACTCTCTGAAGCTTACAGATTATATTCAGAATGAAGAAGTTCTCTGTTGAGATGAGATTATTGATTACCTCCATAAATATGGAAATAATTTTACCTCCCAATACGCGTTTTGCGTATTGGGAGAACAAAAATATTCTCCCAATACGCGTTTTGCTAACCAAGTTTGCGTCATCCATGACTGAAAACTACTTGATGAAGTGTTTCAGATGTCGTGATTGTACTTGGCTCATAAACTTACTCGGTGTGAGTAAGTTTATGACCAACGTGAGTAGCACCTTTGAAAGTTCAAAAGCTATACATATTTCATGCAAAATTATGCCGTTTCTTCACTCTCTGAAGCTTACAGATTATATTCAGAATAAAGAAGTTCTCTATTGAGATGAGATTATTGATTATCTCCATAAATATGGAAATAATTTTTCCTCCCAATACGCGTTTTGGATATTGGGAGAACAAAAATATTCTCCCAATACGCGTTTTGCTAACCAAGTTTGCGTCATCCATGACTGAGAACTACTTGATGGAGTATTTCAGATGTCGTGATTGTACTTGGCTCATAAACTTACTCGGTGTAAGTTTATGAAACCCACGTGAGTAGCACTTTTGAAAGTTCAAAAGCTATCATAATCTACAATCCCTCAAGTCCACAAGGTCGGTGATTTTCCTAAGTATGATTTTTTCAAAATTGATATGTGATATAATCGTCACTTTTCCATTTCTTCAACCATCTTGAACGATTTTTTTTGAAAAAGTGGAAGAATTGAAATAAATGTGTCTCAAAAGAACATTTTATAATAACTCTATATGTACCTAACCTCAACTATATATCTACCTGGGACTCATTATAATATATGTATTGCCAATACCAAAAACTTTTATCAACGTGTCCAGGAATGAGATGGTGAAGTGGTGTGAAAGCGAAAAACCTTCCTCTGCTCTCCGGATCCCTTGAATCGCCAGCTTCTACATTAACAGCTGCAAGACATTTCCCGATTTCAACATCTTCAGCTCCTTCATTGTCTGCTCTGCATATTTCTCTATTTGGTATGGCTTCCTGAAACGAATACGATAGTGGTTGGGCATAGAAGACTACAATATTTTTATTTTCTGGAGTTCATCAACCTCAAATGGTATCAATAAGAATATATAGTTCCACCCAAAAAGTATAATTTTATTCTTCATACCTATGGAATACTTTCAGTNCGACTCTCTCTTACATAGTCTGGTAATTTATTAAATAATAAAGGACCTAGTGAGTTATGAGAGTCTTTGGATATTTGAACCCTAGAAAAGGGTATATTCAGCTGATTTTTCATTCTTGTGTCATGTTTATGAATACTTGATCTAGTTAAAAAATGCTATAGGTACTGAATACATAAACACAAACTTCAAAGATAAAGAGTGATGGTAGTGTTATGATTTTACAGGTTCTGAATACATCAACATAACTTTGCCAAGTATTCTCTTCTGTGCAGCAAATACATCATTTGCTTTCAAAAATCTTCCTCAAATACAAATAGCATATCGGAGTATGGAGTCTACTTGGACATGGTAGAGTATCATCAACTGATCATTAGACAGAACTGATCTCAAATTACGTAATTGATAGGAAACATAATTCAATTTATTGATTACTTCACAGTGTTCTCCCCAGGAAATATGTTCGTCCATATATATAAACCAAGAAATCCGACGGTCTTATCTACTGACTATAAGTCAACGAAATCAACGTCATTAACTTCTTTTTACCTGTTATGAAATCGTATACATTTTGTTTTATTTGTATTCAGATAGAGTGAATTGGCTCTGAATCACTGAGTCATATTAAAGGAAATTTTATTACATTTCAGACGTATACAAGATTCATCCCTGTCTGATAAAATAACTGATGTATCTATCATCAGTGTGAACAATAATTGGACTATTATATATCTTCACGATATCGTTGATATAGAGTAAAAATAACGTAGGTCCTAGAAGCGAGCCCTGAGGAACACTTACTTCAGAATAATCGTTGCAGGATGGCAGGTGGTTACCAATAATAGCTTGATTACTACGTTTACTCAAAAAATTTTTCATTCATTCATGAGTGACACCACGGATCCCGTGTCTAGACAGTTTATTCAATAAGAATCCGTGACTAATGCAATCAAACTCCCAATTTAAGTAACAAATATACTGATTAAGTGAAAACTCACAATCTTGTATCGAGTCTAACGAATAAAAATAGTTTCCAAAGAAGTATGAAAAAATCAATATCACAAAATAGTCATAAGAATCGAATAGAATGGTTAAACGTTAAAAATACAGAGAAGTGAAATATGTTTTCTATTGAAAAGTTGATTAATTTATGATCACTCAAAAGCTACCACTCAGTATGAGTAATGAACATAAACTGTTCTTTCTTTCTTTCTCTCGGGACATTTGTATATGAAATCTGGTATGATCAATCTGAAGTTCTCAAAAAAAATTGGTCCCAAATCCATACGAGCTTCTGATCATGATTTGAACGCATGAAACCCTTTCTACTATATCAGTTCTATTCTATTCTATTCAATGAAAATCTTACTTACAACTACAAATTTTCTCAATGCTTCCTTACTGAGAACATATCCTGCACCCCCACTCATATAACCTTGTTTGACGTATGGCTTGAATTTAGCTCCAAAGTAAATGGGCCTCTGTGGATCAATACCAAGCAGCATGTACCTCAAATTTTCCAAAATGACGTACCTGAAAAGTTAATAATGTAGCAGTTGAAACCTCGATAACAGATAATCAAATTAAAAAAAAATGAAATATGTAAAACAGTACTTCCATAAATTAAAGGTAAGAAGAATATAAATATTCATTGTCATGTCAGTTTATATACTGGTCTTTTATTTAAATAATTAACATACATCAACACTGGAAATATAAGTATCATATACGTTCTTTACTAGGGTACTCCTGTCATGCTCATAGAAAGGACAGCAAACATATCGATAAGATAATAATAGTTATGTAATGTCCACCATTTCAGACAGTTTTATTTATACTATGGCCGTTCCCCAACGCGTGTTGAGAAACACATGATTTTTTTTGTTTTCGAAAACGGATATGTTCTACACGTTCTCTGAACCGAGTATTAATGGATCGCTTAGTCTGACAGTCCTCACAGGTTATATCATATTTCTTCGACTTTTTATTCTTCATCTTGTTTTTAGAGTTATCTAACATTTGTTGTAGTGATCAAGAAGTTTTGGTAGCTACTTTCATGTCCAAGTTTTTGAAAATACGCTGTAATTCTTTAGTTTATTATGGTTCATTCGAAAGGACAATGAACTATGATTTTTTTGAAGGTGGTTGACAATGTTTTGTGGTGCATTTTATCAGTTCGGACTTCCATTGTCTAAAGCTTATCGCTCACTTGTCCGGCACAGCACAGCACGGCGCTGTCCGTCGCCTGATGGCGACGGGTAGTAGCATCGCCCAGTGTGCAGCGACAACCAGCATACTGAAGGTGCCGTTTGTTCGATTTCAAGGGAAATAGCCACAAAAAAAATGTTGTCGGTCCATCCCATTTATCAAAAGATGGCAAATCTGGTATAGTTTTATCATCTTTCAACGATCTAGATTACCAGAATGTAATAAAGATGGTGACTCAAGTCCGGTATGAGGCTCTGTCTCCGTCGAATGAGAGTTGACAACGCTTGACGTGGTTGATTCATCACGTCCAGGAAGAGGATCTATGTGTGTATTGCTCTCTATTAACGGTAGGTTGATAGACCTTGACGTATCTGCATTGTCATGAACTAATGGTATGTTTGTAGTTTCAGCAGCTATGAAATCAACATCACTAAAATTGTCTTGGTTGTATGGCCATATACCACACTTCCAGAAGCTGTTAACCGCTGTGGTGAGCATGTGCATGTAAGCTTGCCCAAATATTTCACTTATTTCGAACATGGCGATCACACGTCCTGGATGCGATCTCAACCAATTTGAAACGGCATGGTCATAGTAAGTACTTGAAGGTCTCATGAAAGCTACATCAGTAGGTTGCAACTTATGTGTGCAATGAGGAGGGAAGCAAATTATTAAAACTCCATGTTTTCGTGCAAGATCTATAACATCTAGATTTTGAGTATGACTCACATGTCCGTCTAAAAACAGCAACACTTTATTACTAGAAGAGGCTCCTGAAAATTGGATGAACTGTTTAAACCAAATGGTGAATATTTCCGCTGTCATCCAGCCTTTTGAATTACATGCTGATGTTGCTGCCTTTCTGTATCCTGATTCTTTACTAAAAACTTTGTCTACAGCTGCTTTCATGGACTGTTGTGACCACTCTCTTCTTTCAGTCTTTTTTTTGTAGTTCATAACAATGTTTAATCTGAAAAACAAAAAAATATATTTCGATCGATATATCTATAAACAATAACAAATGAAGCAAATTTTATGGAAGTAACCTGATTTCGTGATATGACGGGCATGATGGGGTAATACCCCATTATGCTCCGTACGATTTACACTATCTTGCCCAGTCACTGTGTTTAAATAATTTTTTTTTAATACACGGTTAGGTCTAATACGATTTTGAATACGTCTATCAACTGGCAGAAAAATGTTAAACAAAGGAAAAAATAATCATCAGTTCACTTTTACAATAATTTGATTGTAAACAAAGGACGCACGCACATTCACCGACTGTCATGGTCGCACTGAGTATTGTTCGAAAGCGGCTTTTGATTGGCTAAAGCGCCACCTCGCAAAAGCGTTTAGTTTTTGGTATGTGTGCGTGACCCCGTCTTACCTCGATTTCATCAAAATAATTCTCAAATACATATTTGAACGCTTCTTTCGTTTTAGCCCATAAGTTGTTCCTACCCTCGCCCACAGGCAATGCAATGGCGGGTAATGTTTCATCTGAAATGATGAATAAACGTAGTTTAAATCAAAAGGAAAGGAAAAGGAGTATGAACTCGACAAAATGGTTGAAACTTTCGCAGTCGAGGTTTTCAGTGTTACTATTTTTCGAGTTTCAACGCCGTCGTTTTTTGGCCACTACTACCATCAGATACGAAAAATAGTTGTACTGAGTGTGAAATTATTCGAAAAATTCTTTTTCGAAAACATTTTTTGTGGGGATTTCAAAGCTTTTACCATTTTGCAATAAAATAGTCATACAGCACTCATTATAAAATAATGATCATTCTTGAAACTTTTTATTAATCAGATAGATAATAATATTTTAATTCTTACAGTAAAATAGTCTTCAGATACATGAAGAGCTTTGCTGTTATGTGACATATCATTCTTATGCCTTCTGCATGCATTCAACCTTTGTGTTCAACCATTACGATCGTCGTCAGGTCATCTTATAAATATTTTATTGGATGATTTAATTCGTGGATAAAGGTATAATGCAATATTTGTAATATTGTTTGTGTTCCATTGCTTTTGAAATTGAAAGTCCTTGTTAGATTTATAAATTCAACAACACACAAACAAAGCTGAATCAAGGTTAAACACAAATCACTAAACTATACAAGTAAATAATATCAATCTATTGAAAAAACAGGACCCCATCATATTTTACATAAAAGCTTTTCGCTACAGCTGCTTAAATATGTAGATTTGAACGGCAGACACAGCCTGCGCCATATGCGTGCGCCCGGATTAATACAGTATGACGTCATGATAGTTTGTGCCTTTAAACACTTGTTTGAATTGGTTTTTCAACGTAAGGAACTTTTTATATTTTTTATAAACTGACTATTGATATTTCACTGCTCATATTTTGCAGTAGTTAATAATTATCATAGCAGAAAACATTCAGTATGTAAAAAAATCTGCAAGTTCCCTGTGAATATTGTGATCGTTTTTTCTATCACATTTACAATTACTTGAAAAAATTGTTATATTTTATCATTCGAGTTGAGTTAGTATCACTTGAGTTAGGCTCTTATGATTGTTGCTGGAACCCAGTGTGTAATATGCATTTCTACCGAGGAAGCTACGGTGTTAGCGAAACACGTCTAGAAGTTGAATTGTGTAATCATTATCATGAATACTGTTATTAATTTACATCAAGTAAGGGGTCAAACCATTCAAAAATACCACTCTCTAAACTCTAAAGAAGAAGTTAAAAAAAAACTATTTAAAAATGTTCATTTCGTTGCAAGGTACACGTTTTTGCAAACAGTCTCCCAAAAAAATTGCACAATAGTCAAAAACATGACACTGGGATATAATTTGACTTGTGAAGCTTATTGAGTTTTTGATATCGAAAATAGAATATAAAAGTTTTTGTTGTTGAACTTTGATGTTATACTTTCAGAATGAGAGAGAAAATGGTTACCATTTATCAAGAAAAAAATAAACACACTAGGGCTCAGTGAAATAGAAGAAACAACTTCAACTGCTACCCTGTCAACTTCAGGGAAAAAAGATTCCCATAAATCATGATTCTACCAGCATTGAGACTGACTTGCTCCGTGAAATACTGGAACAGACTCCGACTATAATCCATCAAACTCAATGGTTGTTGAGAACGAGATTGAAAAGAGGATCACGTTAACGAGGACTGCCACCTCACACACAAGGTTGAACTTTGCTGTTGAAGAACTTCTTTCAACAAACTTGGAAAGTTGAATGATAAAGCCAAACTCTCATTATTGAAGGGAACGAAGTTTGTGGTAGAATGGAACCGTAAATACGAAACGTTTCGTCTACTGCTGCGGCAAATATCATCAGTGGTATATGTGTTAGCTAAGAGCAACAGAGTTATATCTTGAAGTCTCACCAACTGTCGTTACTTACTGTTTCACTGACTGTCATCGATTCTGAACACCTTCTATAACATTTTCGATGTGTTACTCGTACAAAATGATGGAAAGTATTTTGATGAATCAATAATTTAATTTGGAATTTAATATATCCAGAACAATGGAAATATGATTAGGATTATAATACATGCTTAACAGTTTCAAACAATTTACGCGTCGTAAATGATACTGCTGAAGGAGGAGTTCAATTGATGGAATCATACAGTGTGTCAATTTTAAAACTTACAGTGGGCTATATCTCACGAACGAAAGCTGATATCGGAAAATATTGATATCGAAATCGAAAAAACCGTTTCTAAGATAGTAACTGGGAACTGAAGTGACATGAAAGAGAACTCAACCCCATCAACCCCCTAGGCCCCACCCACCAAAACTCTAAAAGTTCAAATTGCTAACCCCTACTTGTGATACATCATTGAAAAGACTATGAAAAATGCTATCCAATGGTATAAATAATAATTGTACAGGGTGAAGCAATAATTGAAAGGAATATTTAATGAGATTTTTGTTGAACTACAAATTTATTAAAAAATGACATTTAAGTAAATGTTCTGAGTGGGTTCCGTTGTTTTGTAAACAATAATACAGCCTATTGTCAAAGTCTGCACGAAATTTAGTATCAGCCGGCTTACTATGACTTTTTTATTTGTAATGCTACATCNCTTGTGTTGACGTCACACCAGCCGCAAACCACCATACTTTAACCGTGATATTTTTTTGGATCCTCAAATCCTCGTCTTCGATTAGTAGGTCGACCACTTCAGAGTTCATCTTCGAGTCTAAAATCTCCGAAATGAAATTTCGCAAACCAACGCCGAACAATGTGTTCATTAAAACTACTGTAACGAATTAAAGAATTAACTGTCTCAATCAAATTTATTTTTAACAATATTTCACTATCACAACTAATTTATATACAACACTTAGTAACTAACGCTTAATTTATCTTCACAATTAGATTCCTTAAACGCACGATTCGCTTTCTAAGTACAGACTACTCCTCGGGACGGAGAGCGACCTTTTTTATATCGTCAACGAACGTTCCGGATCCCTCTGCGGATTTCGGGACTCATCCGCATCCTTCCCGCTCTTTCGCGATGCGACATGCGTTTGTTGACTGGGACATCGGTCAGGGCCGGCTTCAGATTCATTACAATACATATACATATTAATTTTTTACAAGTATTAAAATTTATTATCGGTTTTCATTGATGAATTAACATTTTTGAATTGATGTTTTTCAATTTTGTTTTCATTATTTTCATTATCAGATACATCAGTAATTACTGTGGTTGAATGTAAGACCGAGACAATAGCCTTATGGTACAAAAAATAAGATACATATGTTTTCGAATGAAAATTGGAAATATGTCTTGAGAAAACTGCATCGATTGTTGTTCCATGTTTTGTGGTAGGCTTAATTTGGTTATTATTCATTTATAGTTCTGATTTATCTCGTAAAAAGTTTACCAAGAATTGTCCATCTTCGCGAAATTAACACTGAAATCTCCTGCAAAAATTAGTGGCAACGTATGATAATTGCTCGATCGTAAATGTGTGCTCACACCTCTCTCTTACACCTTCAGTAATATACGAAACGTAACTCTCTCTCTTTCAGTCTTCAGTAACTTATACCTCCCTCTCAACTCCCGTTCGCTTCGCCTGATCATACTTAGTAACGCTCTCGCCACGCATTTACCAGCTTACTTCCCAAGTCAAGCGCGCGTAAAGAAGTTTTACTTTAACGTTCACCTCGCCCGTTCACACTTTTCGTAACGCTCTTGTCAGGCATCTACCAGTCAAGCACACGTAAAGAAGTTTCACCTCAAAATAAGATTTTTCTGACGTACAAATTACATTTTACAAATTACATGACTATTAAATTTTTTTGGATATTTTTTCTTTTAATTATGGAAGATACATTTTTTGTATATCTTCAATACTTCAAAATATAAATGCTACTTTCTCATTGATTTGTTTTTAGAAATATAATTTGACACAAATATATTCAATATCTTCAATAATTTCTTGAACGTGCACTTATGACAGAACAGTTACGACAATTCACTTTAGGGCTAGGTCAGCAAAAGGCAGAACCTCGGATCGCCAAGTATACCAAGTATAAATTAGTACTTAGATAAGGTATACTATACCTTTATTGAATAGAATAATATTTTCGAGCCACATATAATTCACCTTAGTACTAATTTAATTTTGAGTTCACTAGCTAAACTGTTTTACAAGTACCTACAACTGATATAGTTTGATTGGTTTCCCATCTAGCCTGGTTAATTGAACAAGTAACCTCCTTCTTGCAAAGACTTAGATACGCAGGAAGCCAGAAAGCACTTTGAGATCATAACGAACAAGCGCAATATGCTGGTTGTGGCTTTCCTGAATGATATTTTGAAATATTTAAGTGCGCTCAATATAGAGTTAAGGAGATGGTGAATTAATATGTGATCTGATACTAAGCGTGTCTGCTTTTCGTCGCAAGCTGGATATCTTTGAAAACGATATTGCAAACAATGATTAATTTATTTTCCGACAAAAAAACTCTGAAGAAGACATTGTGCAGTTATTGAGAAATTTCTGGCCGATCTTAGGAACGATGTAGCGGTGGAATGGACAGATGTGGCTGTCAAGTTGTTCAATCTATCACATTACGGACACACCTAAAACTACTTGCCGACCCCCACTCCAGAGTATATAAATACAGAGTGGAGATAAAAATTATCATTCTCAATAGATTATAACAGTGGTCGCTAACCTGTCGATCGCGAGCTACCGGTAGCTCGCGGATGCAATTCTGGTAGCTCTCACAACGATTTTAATTTAAAAAATACAAACTGCAAAAATCAGAGAAGCTTCCGAAAATTCCACAAAAAAAT